CTAAATGTTATTGCTTCATTTAAACATAAGTTTATATAGTCTCCAATAATTGTTCCTTTTGAGAAAGACATTACGTGTATTAACTCTATTGTGAGACAAGATTTTAATCTTTTCAGATGCTCACATTCTTTTGAACTATTGTCACAGAAATTGACACTGGGGCAAAGAAAGTGGATTTGCCATGTTCTACTTAGTGCTAAAAGATTTAACCTATGGTCCCAATTACTTGATGATCTACAGGCTTGATGTTATTAGCATATGAACGTATGAATGAATTACTTATCAACGTAGATTAACTCTGGATGATTATATTAAAATGTGGCTATAAAATGTGGCCTCCAGAAAATCAAAGTCCTAAAAATAGAAGAAGATGAAATTATGGTGTCATTTAATGTCACAGCACTCTTTACGTCCATAGATCCAGAACTATTGAAAGAATCCATGGCAGCAGTATTACAGAACACACCTGACCTAGCCAAATTCACTAAGATCAAAATAGCTAGAATCATGGACCTCATCAACCTCTGCCTCACTACATATTTTCAGTCTGAAGGACAAATATACTGACAAATCAGAAGAACACCCAAGGGATCACCACTCTCAGGATTCATAGCAGTCTGTAATGCAGCATCTAGAAAATATAGCACTCCCACACATACAACCAAAAGTATGGATCCGGTATGTAGATGACACCGTCACAATAAAAAAGGAAAAACTAGAGAAGACACATGAAACAATCAATATCTTCAAAGGAATAAAATTCACAAGGGAAGAAGAAAACAACAATACACCACCTGTCCTGGATATCCTCATCAACAGTGGAAATGATGGCAAATTAGAAATGCAAGTCTATCAAAAAAACAACCCACACTAACCAAGTTCTCCATTACCAAAGTAATAACCCAATCTCCCACAAGAGGAGCTGTGGAAGAACATTATTCAGATGAGCACAAACGCACTGCAGCAACTCAGAACACCAGAAAAAGGAAACAGACCACCTATACAATATCATCCAACAAAATGGATACCCACGCAACTTTATCAAAAAGTGCCTGACCATCAACCCACTACAGTACAACCAACACAAGCTATGAAAAGTATAACACTGCCATACATCAAAAACAGCAATCAGAAGACACAATGAAAACTCCTTAATCTCACAACTAATGAACAGACTCAACCATAATTTCAGCTGGAAACTGTCAGCATCTTAGACCAAGCTAAATCCAAAAACACTAGGTAATTCCTGGAAGCTTGGCATTCAGACAAATCAGCCATCAATAGACACATAGAGATAAATCACATTTATACATCATTCAGAAGACAATAAAAAAAGCTAAGAAGGAAACAGGAAGACCAGAACACATCCTATCCAGCAACCAACACCCAGATAATCAAGGATTAATTAATAGCAGATAGTCAGGGAGAAAACAATACCTGATCAAGGAACTACCAAGGAGAAAGCCACACCCCCACCAACACTGGCAGGGCAAGCTACTGTGTATAAACAGGGTACAAACCCACACTCACTAGCACTGATGATGTTACCCAGTCAGGTAATGAAACATCTGCAAGCAAAAAACCAAGCTCAGAGAGCACCAAGGACTCCAGAATGTGGTTATTGTTTATTTAAATGGTTATGTGTACAAGTATACACACACACACACATTGTCTGTCTCTGTCTGTCTGTCTGTCTGTCTGTCTGTCTGTCTGTCTATCTATCTATCTATCTATCTATCTATCTATCTATCTATCTATCTATCTATCTATCCCCTTGTAATCTGCCTCCCATGTAACCTGCAACTGCTTAACCAACCTATTTTCCTCTCCTTCCTCCCCTCCCCCCCAGTTTAAATCCTGCATCAGTCTAGCCATTCTATGCATCTGATGGAGTGAGCTGCAGCTCACGAAAGCTTATACTTTTTAATAAAATTGGTTAGTCATAAAAGGTGCTACCAGATTCTAGATTTTTTGTTACTATAGACTAACATGGCTCTCCTACAATATTTAATGTTGACTGCCTTAAGTCAAAATACATTTTACATTCTTAGGGTCATCCTGTGCATTCTATTATGTTGTGTGTGTGTATGTGTGCGTGTATACATATGTGCATGTGTGTATGTTTTTCTCCAAAGTATTCTCACTGTTTGCCATGTTGGACCTCTCAAGAAAATCTGATAGCATATTTTAACTACAGTTCATAAAAGGTGCCAACATATGCTTTCAATTTCCTTGTTGCTGGTTTAAAACATTTTTGAAATAGAATGTTATGTGTTGGCAAAGATTTGTTCTATAAAATCAGAGTTCCAGTCAAAATGACAACAAAGGAAACATTGTCAGCAGAAGGATACAAGTGTTGTGCCATTTGACAATTCCATGCCACAAATTCAGTGGCAGGCAACGTACACTTTTGCATTAAGAAATGTCAGCAAAATGGTTTTTCAGCTGCAACCTGGGCAGAGGTCTCCTTATGTTCTACTTAAGGTTCTATAATATAATTGATTCCATTTCAATTCAATATTTATGTAACCTGAGTAACAGTTTTCTATGAAACTTTAGCAAATGAAATATTTGTTTTAGCATCTCAACATAAACATGATTTAATAATGATATCCATTACTTAATGATGCATATCATATATAAATATGTATTTGTGCATTTGTGTGTGGGGGCTTCCCTTGCCTTATTCTAGAATTACATTCCCTGAAAACCTTGCATAAAGTGAATTTGCAAAAAGTGAGACACTGAGCCAGAGGAAAAAAGGGTTGAGGGGTATAGTGTCAAATTTTGTAACTCAGGTGCATTGACAAATGTGCTCATACATTTTTAGAGTCTTATTCTTAAGCACTGTGTTACTCAAATCAGTTTTCTTCCTTGTCTCATTGTCTATATACAATGAAAGCATTTTCTCCATCTTTTTTACAGCTGGATTTCTAATGTGTATAGTTATCATGGCAGACAAAGAGGTAGAATTTATCACAGCACTATGAGTTTTATTAGCTTTCTCTGTTATGTTGTGTTGTGTATAATGAATCTGCCCAGGTTAAAAGCTCATCCTAGGGCTGAGATGTTTCACCAGATTTGGTACAATTTAATACTGTATATCCAACTTTGTTTCTAGTGTTAGAGAGGTCCATTTCCTTTTCATTTTGGGTAATAGGGTTGGACAAGATGTTGATGGCCACTTTGATCCCATAATAACAGCAGTAGCTACTGCAGGCACAGAAATACATGGGAGACAGGAGGCACAATTAGAGTAGTTGCCCAACTCAGTGGTACAGGCACCTGGGAGGGCAGAAAGGGGTTTTGGCAGGAAAATGCTCAAGCGGCTTTGGCGGGAAGAAGTCGTGGCATGTTTCCAGACCTTTGAAACAAATTGACTGTGCTGGCACATAGTGGGTTTTTGTTTTATTTTGTTTCGTTTTTGCATAAAGTGAATTCTTAGTAAAAATGATCAATTGCATAAAGTAAGGGAAACCGGTATAAAATTTCCCTACATATCAATAGCATAAGAGAATGAGAAGGTAGCTATATAATGAATCATCTATCTGGCGTGTTTTTTTGCTTTTGTTTTTCCAAAAAAGAGAACTTGGGGTATTCAGTTCATTTGTTTACATTCTATAGATTGTAAAAAGCTTTAACCAGTTTATATGCAGAATTGCAGTTGAATTGCAGTCAAAAGCAAACAATTTCTAAGTCCAAAATTTTGGCATCTTTTGCACTTTCCATTTGTTTAATACAAAATAGTCTAGGTTGACTGGCTTCTGGTTGGTGAAAACGGCTGACTGATGTGTCCTGAAAGAGCGGGGATGACGCCAAGGTGGAGAACCATGACCAGGCAGTGAGCCCGGAGCAGCAGAACTTCTCTGGATAAGGAGAAGTCAAAGAGATTGACCACATGTGCTTCAGAAGGCAGCTCCCTGCAAGGAAACCTGCAGAAATTCTGCAAGCAACTCGCAAGTAAGAGTGCCAGAAGCTGAGGAGGAGAGGTTGTGCTTGCAGCCTCAGCGGAGCCTGTAATGGACACTGGGTCTGACCTAACTCCACTTTCTAAAACGAATTAAAAAAATAAGAGGGAGAGAGAGAAATGGTTATTATCAGGGAAGCAGCGAAAGAAGGGAGACAAGGATCATTAACACAGTAAACACCAGGACAAGGCATTGCACCAGGGATGTTACAAGATGTTTGAGGAACAGAGGAAGAATATTATAAAGTCAGTGACATCTTTACTGGCTGAAAGATTTGCAAATATGGAAGAGAAAATGAATGAAAAATTGGAAGAATCTGCAGTACAAATGATTGAAGGAGTTAAACAAATCCAGGAAAAAATGGAGATCCCAGAAAATAAGATGGAAATAACAACCAGAGAAATGAGTGAAGATCTGGATGTGGCATCATCCACATGAGAGAGGAAGAAATTTGTCTGAGATCAAGAGTAATTTTGGAACAATCTGAGGAAGGCATTAAGGAAAGAGCTGTTGAACTTTTAACAGAATCTATGGAATGGGAGGAGGAAGATGAGGGTACAGAAGAGGACAGGGGTGCAGAATTAATACAAAATATGTAAAGATAAAATGTTTCAAGAGATGCACCTGTGCACTCTGTCAGAAAGACAAAAGATCAAGTTATATAACAAGACTTTTAATACCAACTTAATTCTGCCAAAGAAACATCTATTAGAAGATTGCCTATGAGGAAAGAATACAAAATAGACTTGTTTGATCAGGGGTAAAATAATTTTAATTTATCAATTAAAGATTGAAGACCCTTGATGGACTTTTTGCTGAAAACAGTTAAAAATGACCTGGGTGATTTTTGTTTTTGTTAATTAAAAAGGGTTGAGGGGGCAAGGAGTTATAAAAAAGAGACGGGTTGGATTGCATCGGTGCTGCCACCATCTTAAATTCTGACAATCCCTGGTGGATGCCCAGGCAGTAGAATTCATACTGTGTGATGTTTGTCTTCCACAACAGAACAATAGATCAAAATGGAATGCTTACCTGACAAGTCCATATTGATGTTACAAGGAAACCATCATCTTGGAACACATTGAAAATGTCAATGATGCCACGGGAATAACCAAAGATAGCAATGCTGCCATCAGACACAGCCAGATTAAATGTCAAATAATCCGTGGGCTGAAGAACAGCTCGTTGTTTATATAGTACAAAAATTACAATGCTATTCCCAATCCAAGACATCCACCCTGGAATATAAAATTAAATAAAATATTTAAGTCTGCATTCATATAAACCAAGCAAATTTTGCTTAGGGATTCTTCAGGGCCTACACAAAAGACTTCTCTTAGATTATTAGGCCTTCTCACATCTGGGAGCAGAAGAAATTTCAGAAGTATTGGGCTCATCAGACAAAGTTAACTGAGGCATGGCATACTACTGTGATTTTCTTCATTGAAGTTGCTGACTAGAATTTCAAACTGCTGAATAGCAAAAGTTACATAACCCAAGAAAAGAATAAAGGAGAATAAATATGCAAACTTATGCAACAATTTAAATAAAATGGTCAAAATACAAGACAAACAGAAATACTAAAATAATAAGAATGGAAATGGCTAAAATGGAAAATTATAGACATATTAAAATTCTAAAAGATTAAAATGATGAAATACTCAAGAATTAGAATGCTACACTACTCTACTAAATAAAAGAATATAAGGTAGCACTTCAGACTGTATTCCAAAAGGTAATTCAGAGTGTGCAGAAATATAGCATTTGTCTTCAACTTGCTGAAGTAGCCATAACTAGTAGAGCCCTACCTGAATACATAAATTCTCAAGTGCTACAATAGTTATCCCTAGAGCAGTGATGGCGAACCTATGACACATGTGTCAAAAGTGTCATGCCATGACATTTTGGGTGACACACCAGTGTTTATCAACACCCAACAACTATTCTCCCTGTCTGAGTTACCAAAAAAACTGAGTTTGTTTTACTCGTATTTCATTTTTGTAATTATTCGATGTTTCTTTATATAATACATAGCACCACATATGATTGGACTGTATTTTAAAAAAATAAATGAATATGTAAAGAATTGTTTCTCTTTTGTTCAGGTAGGGGTGTGTGTGTGTGCGTGTGTGTGTGTGTGTGTGTGTGACATGCCAGCAAAGTTAAGCTAAGCATTTTCCAAATTTTTGACATGATGAGCCCAAAAGGTTCGCCATCATTGCTCTAGAGAATCCTTTTCTATTTCTTCCAATCAGGCCTTCTCTGCTTTGCAGTATTGCTTTATCACACAAAATGAATTGCTTCTCACAAAATCAGAGAGAAACAACACGATGGCAGATCTGACCACTGCAAAACCAAAGAACAGGTGGAAACTGGGCCTTTTGCCCCAAAGAGCAGCGGCCCATTATGTAGGACAAGAAAGAGGAAGAGGATCAAAAGAATTCAACAATGGATTCTATAAATAGGACTCGCTCTTGAAACACAGCAGTCACCAGAACTCTTTGGTTAATGGCTTCTTATAGTTTCTTCAGTGAACACTACTTATTAGAAGTTTTTGGAGCTTTATGAGCTTGCCTGATTGGTTCCAGACCTGCCTGCCAGTTGAAGCCAGACAAAACTAATTCCTCTAGGAAACTTACTACCTGCTTCTATCTCTGCAACACACAAAAAACAAATGCGTGGCCCAGCCGTCAACTTGACTCTTTCAACATCCCCCACAGATACCCCTGAGAAGTTTACAAGTAACAGATCTTGAGAAATAATAGATTGGGACTAGCACTCATGCAAATGGCTTGGGAAAAGCTTGCATCAAACAGCTTAGCTTTGGAAAGAAAACTACAGTATTTGCAACCCAACTTCATCCTTTTCTAGTCCAACTTACCTGAATAGCAGACTGGACTGATAATCTTGTCTTCCTTTCCCACCTTTCCAAAAGCTTGTTTACTTTAAGATAAACATATATTATTGTTCTGCTCTCTTAACAACTGCACAAGAAAAGAAAATGGACTCTTATTCTTTAATGAAAGAGTCTAATTTAAACATTGCCTATATGTTTCATTTCATAAGGCGAATGGACACCAAAACCATACATACCCAGAGTGAGCAGATAAAAGCCAATAATGGTTTCTCCTTGTTCAGAGACTGGGTGGTCTTTATTTAAAAAGGTCATATTGTTGTTTCTCCAGGGTGCCTGAACAGAAACCTGGAAAGACATCTTCAGGTTTCCCAAAACCCAGAACTTGCTCTTTTCCCCCAGGCCCAGAAAAGTCACACAGAAGAAAGCTGACCTCCACCTGTCTAAAACCTCTGTTCTATATTCTGCAGAGCTGAGCCTGGAGACTGATAACAAAGGGGAAGCTAAGGCAACGTAGGACTAGCAGCTTGGCTCTCTGCTGCATTTGCTAATCCTGTCTATTAATACCCAGCAATCACCAAGCTGTGTTAGTCAAAGACATATGAGTTTTTATCCATTACCTGAGGCTATTACATGCCCACACTTTTTTTAGTGCACAAACCGCTTGCCTATACTTTACAGACTGACCATGTAAGAGAAAACCTCAATGTTTATCTCATGAGCAAATCAACATTCCCAAATTTGACCAGATAGCTCAATAATCTTCTTCCTTTGTTGAAAAAGAAAGAGAAAACCCTAATTTAATGGCTAACAAGGTGCAAGTTTATCATACCTAGGTTACAAATCTCCAGACAATCACCAGATGTCATCAGAGAAGTACAGAAAATTCCTAACTTTTGCTGCCATCAAGTGCTTATCTAAATGTTTGAAGCCAAGACATGGCAGTCCTGCATGTATCAGGAACCCATTGCTGCCAATCAATATAGATTTCTCCATCTAATGTTGTATGATGGTTCTTTTGGCCATCACCAATGTATGAAACATCCACAGTTGTTGATATCTTCATAGATTCCAATTGGCTAATGGGCCTGTGGTAGGAATACCCCCTTTATGTAAAATTTTGCCACTTTCCCTTTTTGCTCAGGAAAATGAGTTAAATTGTGGGTTTCTTTTTTTTCTACTGATTAGGAAGGGTAAAGAAGCAGAGGAATCCACCAATCAGTGGCCACAAAAACACGGTCAGGATAGAAATCAAGCCGTCACAGCAGCTGAAACAAAGGAAGGGGCTGAAATCTAGAAAGAGATTTCTTAAACTGGCCTCATTTCCAGCTAGATTATGCATGGGAAACAAGCAGCTGAAGACAGCGGTATAGAGAAGCTGCCAGTCCAGCTCCTTACACAGTTTCTTCTTTGTAAGACTTAGCTTCTAGTCATCCTTCTGCCCTTCTCTGAACCTATACCTGTTTCTTTGATTTTTTCTGGAAGTATGATGCCCAAATCAGAACACAAGACTCAAAATGGGGTCCAAAGACTGCCACTATTACTTCTAGTGATTTGGAAATTATATTTTTATTGGTGTAGTCTAAAATTACATTTGCTCTTTTAGCAGTTATGTAACTAGAATTCTGGAATCTTTTTCATACATAATACTGTATTTGATACCCTTGTATCTGATTTTTGTTTTCTAAATGAAGATCTTTGCATTTATTTTTATTAAATTTCATTCTGTACTTTTCTATTCACGTCTGTAGCCTATCAGGATCATGTTGAATTTTGTTTTCATCTTCTAAAGCAGTGTTTCTCAACCTTGGCAGCTTTAAGATGCATGCTGGCTGGGGAATTCTGGGAGTTTATTTATTTATTCAATTTACATATGGAGTTGAAGTCCACACTTCTTAAAGTTATTGAGGTTGAGAAACACTGTTCTAAAGTATTAGCTATCCTACCCAATTTGAAACATCTGCATGATAAGCGTTTCTCCACCTCTTTACCAAATCCTTAATAAAAATGTTGCAAGTAAAAGGTCCAGGACTGAACCCTGTGGCACTGGAGTTAATACCAGTAGATACGAACTGTTGATGAGCACTCACTGAGTGCAGATTTTGATCTGACTGTGTATCCACCTAATAGACATGTTGTAATGAAGGAGGAGAAATCCCATCCCAAGAAGTTCACACATGAAAGATTTAAAGGAAGACCTTCATCAGATCCATCAGGCAAATATGTGACTCTGGGCAGTGTATAACAAAAAACGAACAATAAACCAAAAACCACATAAGATTAAAACATATACAGTATATAAAACACAAAATATAAAATGGTGACTAAGCACCATGACAAAGCAACCAAATGGGGACTCCACTCAACTGATCCTTAATGCCTGGGGGAAAAGCCAGGTCTTCAGGACTTTCCTAAAGGCGAGAAGAGATGGGGTCTGTCATATATTGGGTGGGGTGTAGAGATCGTTCCAGAGAGCAGGGGCAACCACAGAAAAGGCTCGCTTCCTAGGTCCCATAAGATGACAAGACTTAAAAGAAGAAACCTGGAGCATGCCCTCCCTGTGGGATCATGTGGGGCAGGCAGATGTTCTTGAGAGAAGGCGGTCCCACAAGTAACTCAGTCCTATCCCATTCTTCAGTGATGACTGGTAAATTTTCTTCTATGAATAAATTTGTTTGATCTTTTCTTTATCAGAGCAACATTTATGACAATACAAAAATAACGTCCCCCAAACAAGTGCAATATATAAATCTCTCTGCTCTAATATATTTCTTAAATTTAGTAGCTGAAAGACAAAAATTTCTTTCACTGCAAACTTTCAACTGTTAGCAATAGTCTTACAGTTTCCCTGTAATGTAACTTTTTTTTACAAATAATTTCTTTCATACTTAATCTACATTGGCACTGACATACTCCTTTCATCTCACTTCTTATGATGCTGAGGCAACAGAAATCAACCACTGAGACTGAGAATGATAATACAAATCTAGGGTTACCATATCTGGGCTGCTATAATCCAAATGATTCACTTTTCCTGCCATCAAGTGGTCATCTTGATTTTTGCAGCCAAGATAATAGTAGTGCTAATAATATCCAACAGATGCAAATGGTTACCTTTAATACAGTATTAGCAACATCCTGAGCCCTTATTGGCAAAACAAGACCCTAAACCTCAAGTCTGTAACCAAGTTTATTTTTCCCAGTCCCTCTCTTCTTTTTACATTGTTATCACTTGCTTATCTCAGATTTAGGCAGGCAATCTTTGCTCCTCGTTGCCTATGATATATAAATTAAATCAATTCAATAGCAAGATTTTGTATCTCCTACCAGCAACAATTGCTTCTCTTTACATTTTATCCTTTATTTATCACAATTACCATCACTGAAAAGAAGAAAAGTGAGTTAGTGAGTGAGATGCAGTTGGTTAGTTTAGAGCTGCCCTAAGGAATAGCCTGGATATTCAGAGATAATATTTTGCATTAAATAACTGCTGGAGAAGTAGAATAAAAATGACCTTTACCTGGTTATTCATGGGCAATTTACACCAGGTTTTTCCCCCTGCAATATACATGTCACTTCTTCATCAAGTGAAACACCTGACATCAGTCATTCCCATCTTATTTCTATATTTATGATCTGGAACTTTTCAGAATAATTTTATGACTTAAGATACCTATCATGATTTCAATATGGGCACAGTGCCTATTAATTTTGCAATATTATAAATCATACCCAAAAGAGTGGCTTAAAAAATGGTACACCGTTCCTATACCACTCAGAGGTCCAATACCAGAATGCAAGTTGAGAAAATAAGATATGGAAATAAATTTTTAAAACTGCCCTTGCAGTGGAGGGGTGGGCTGTCTGTCTAAAGCAATGGGAGCTAAAATACAACGTATCAAGGGTGCACTAGGTTTGGGAATCCTTAATATTCACACTTCCGAGAGTGAGGGAGGATTTGTTTTCATGACATCCACTTTCTCTTCAGGTTAACAGGAAAGATATCAGGGTGAAATTTCTGAGAAACTGAATTGACGGTAGCCGTGGATTTTTTTATGAGGCTGCTAAAGGCATTGCTGATAAACAGCAGGCATTTGGGCCATAAGACAAATAATATGAAATGCACTGCGTATGATCTCATTCCATGAACAACTCCAAAGAAATATCAGAAAAAAACATTTTGTGCAGAATTTGCCTGGTGACATATTACTCCAACTCATACTTTTATAGCAACTGTCTTTCTGCCAATGTAGGATAAGAATAACCCTTTAGAACCAAACTAATAATATACCCTTTGTATGAGAAAGCAAATACTCCTGCTGATAATGGTATTTTCCTGGAGAAACATAGAAGCTGGCAGTAATTAGTGAATGCTAATGGTTCCTTTTAAGAAGCTAAATCACTCTAAGTAAAAAAGTGTACATTCAGATTCAGATACATTGCTGGCAATCATGCAGACCTCTGGGGAAAACAGGTCTCCTTTCTGACTTTAGAGGTTATTGAAGGTTGAAGGTAACGTATATGAATGGATTTACATATGCCTGTAGGAAGAAACATGGCTAACAAGTTTTTGTGTGGTAAGGAGAGATTGGGGAAACGTTGCATTTCGGAGTTATATGGGCTTACTTATCTGTATATATTTCTGCATCACCTATCACTTGCTGTTATAAATGTAAATTTTATAGATAAACATTTGTAAATAAACAGAAATGCAAGCAACTGGGCCAGAGGTGTCCACGGGGGTGGGGGTGGGGCAAAAAACTCAAGACAGCAGCCACAACCACGATTAAAGTCTCATCCCCTTTTTATATGCATCTCTTGTGCTACTCATGTAAAAAAAGGGCATGGCTTTGAGTGAGCAGTTGTGGCTATCTAGTTGTGACTTTTTTGACACTTCCCATCCTGCCAGTTTCTGGGCTTTTTAATCTGAAATATGGTTTCCTTCTAAAAAGTGCTTGGAATCTTTCCATCTTTGAGTAGGGGGACATCAAACTATATTATGAAATCTCTATTTTCAGGAGATACTTTCATTCTTGTTTTTTTTTAAATATCATTTCTAAATTTTATATGGAAATTTTGTAAAAGCTTACACTGAAAATTGCAAAATAACAATCAAATGAATTTTATTTTGGATATCAGCCCCAAATCTGTATAATATATTTGAAACTTACTGAGTTAAACATAGAAAATTAAATGATACCGAAAGCTTGGTGCATAAAGCAGCTTTCTAGGATGCTGTGAAAATGGATTTTTTTAATTAAAAAAAATGAAGTCGCTCACAAAAATATTAACTTTTATTAAAGCAGAAATGGACAAAAACATGTGATCAAATGTTAATTTAAGGTTAGGACAAGAAACATTGATATTACCTTCTCTGGATAAACAGACTTGTCAATAGTTCCTGTGGATGTCCTTGTACCTGAGCTCCATTTCTGTCATTTCAAGTATGAATGGCTGAAAATCATTTGTAGTCAAGTGGGCACATACCTTTTTCACCCTGAATTGGTCAAAGCCTGCAAATTCCATGCATAACTTACTCCATTCTTAGGTAATAATGAGTGTATGAATCTCAGTATTTTCTGAATGTGCCCATATGCCTAAAAATAGAGAGATGACAGGTGTCAGGCTCCCTCCAGAGACAAAGGCTACTTGGTAAGGAATTATTTACTGTACTTAGGACATGGTAGCCATATCAGAAAGTCTGAGTATGAGATGGTATAGACTTTATACCTCATTTTATTTCAAATCTTCCATGCACTTTTACAGCACTGCCTCCCATGAAGAGAAGTCTTAGGCTCCCTTTTCTCACTTACCTTCTACTTGTCTATTGGAGACATTCTCTGAAAGCAGCTCTCCTGTCTAAATCAGTTGGCAACTTTAAGATGTGCCACTTCCAGAATTCCCCATACAGAATGCTCCTTGACATTTATTATCAAAGCTTATAGATTCATTTGATAAATGATAGCATTTTTGGCGATCAGTGTAGTGTCATTAGCATAAACCCTGCTTATCTTCTTCCAAACAAGCTTCCCTATATATTCAGTATATAGGTTGAATAAATAAGAGAAAAGTATACGTCTTGTCTCACTCCTTTGCCAACCTGAAGCCAGTCTGTTTCTCCATGTACTGTCCTTGCTGTGTCTTCTTGACCTGTATATAAGTTTCGCAAGTAAAATTTGGCACTATGCCATTTCTGTACATTCTGCATTTTGCACATCTTTCAGCCTGGTACATTCACTAGAAAACACTTTTGTTAAAATTGGTTGCTACAACATAGTTTTTGAAAGCTATACAGGTAGTCCTCACTTAACGACTGTTTGTTTAACGATGGTTCAAAGTTATGATGGCCTCAGAAAAAGCGATTTATGACCTGTACTCACACTTATGACCGTCACACACCATTGCACTACCCCTTGCAGTCACATGATTGTGATTTGTGATCTTTTTTATGATGGTCATTAAGCAAATTATGTGGTTGTTAAGCAAATCACATGGTTGTTAAGCAATTCCAGCAAAAAAGTCCATTGGGGAAGCTGGATTCACTTAATGACCATGTGACTCACTTAACGATCATGAGATTTGCTTAACAACCGTTGAAAAAATGGTTGTAAAATCAGGTCCTGTCACATGGCGACTCACTTAATGACTGACTCGCTTAACAACCAACTTTTCAGTCCCTATTGTGGTCGTTAAGCGAGGACTACCTGTACATTTTATGCAACATTAGTGGTGTGTTTCAGTATTTCCTTTAATTTTTTATTAATGGTTTGTAGAAAAAGCTAGCTCCACAGTACCACATAAACTTTACAGATGTTGATAATCTTCCTGTCAAGCTGAATTTAAATCTTCTGCAAAGCTTCATTGTCTTAATAAAGAAAATGCTACTATGCTTCCAAGGTGAAAAAATATTCCACTTAGAAGGAAACTGTCAAAACCCCAAAAGTGTTCCATGTATGTAAAAGTATTGGCCTTGTAAACATGATACAGACCAGGTTCAGCTCCCCACTTTAGGTAATCCTGCCAGACCCAACAAAATTATTCCCACCCCTAAACAAAACACCTAATCCTTTCCTTGCTGACAAGAAAGAGGTATTGCTAACAAAGGCAGAATGAAATTGACTAGAGTCAGCAGAGATCCAGCCCCTGCAATTGACTAAGACAAGACCAAATAAGGAAATTGCAAGAAAGTAATTGGGCAATAGGCCTGATCCCATCAAGGTTCCTCTGTTGGCTAGCAACCCACAATGGCTATTTCCACCACTGCCACGTTCGCTACAAAAAGAAAAGTTTCTCTTAACGATAAAATGGCTCCACCTACACAATCAAACTTCTCCGGTTTTCCTTTTATTGTCTTAAGATCCTGACAGTGAATCAGAGCCCCAGAATTTCCCACTCTACAATTCAAAATTCTTATAAAAGGTCTTACTTTTCTATTATCCTCTGTTTCTCTGCTTGTGAAGTCGGAACCTAACAATTGTTGGTAATTTCTCAGTGTTGTGCTCCTTTTCTCTGAATTTCTCATGACACCTATGTCCTCTCTTCCAATCTTATACGTTATTGCAATAATATAGAATTAAAATTTAAATGTGTTAACTAACATGTCATGTTTTACGTGATAAATATACAGCCATAACAAATACAATAAAAACTTCCTCCCTTTTTGAATAAACTAATCATAGTGGGTTGAGCTATACTGTTGCTTTTAAGATTGCTTATCTTGTGAGGAAGTGAAGTAATCTGCTTAATGAAATTTAGAGAAGGGTTTCTATATTTAGACAGATTAAACATTTAATATATGTGAGAGTCTTTTAATGCAATGACCTGATACCAGTTTCAATAAACTGATTCTATCTGTATATGCCAGGTATCATTTTGCTATGGTACATTATTCATCTTGGTAAGTAGACTCTAAAAAGTGGAATTTCCAATGTTAAATTATCATTTAATAAGCTGCCATCATCATTTTCTTTTTTTAAAAATTCTATCTGTTGCATTTATGTATTGTCTTTTTTCTAGGAGCTTGAAATTGTATAAATCAGTGTTTCTCAATCTTGGCAGCTTGAAGATGCATGGACTTCAACTCCCAGAATTCCCAAGCCAGACATAATGG